CCTGAATCTCTCTCTGGCTTTTCTGATCAATTATTATAAGCAGTTTGTGATCTGGGGCTAGAAATTTGTCTTTCTCTGGATCCTGTTTTTCCTTCCTCTACCCTCTAAAATAAACATTCCTTCTTTACATTCCTTTGAAACTTTGACCTCTAATATAGACCATTAATTGTTAGCCTTTTTCTTTGAGTACCACCTAGCGAACCAGGATTCTGCCCTCCCAGGTCTGCAGGAGTCAGGCTATCTTGCTTTATCATTCTAAGGAAGGACTTTGCAAGTCAAAAGTTAGGTTTCTCCATTCTAGAGAAGGGCTGAGAATTTAACGCTCCTGCTTGCACAAGAGAGAGGAAGAGGACACCTTTCACTGCATATGAATGGTAGTCATTCTGCAAAGCTATCATGACAGTTAGGAATGTCACCCGAGATTCCCGGGGCTCCCAGAGCCTGAGTGATGTCAAGAAAGAGTATAGATTTGGGTGATAGGGGCCCAGAATTAAAATCTACCTCCTTGTGTTTAATTTTATGTTGGGTGCTTAACTTATCTGAGCCACAGTTTCCTCAGTAATAAGAGGGTAATAATTGTAACGCGTTAATTGGCTTGTTCCCAGGATTGAAGCATATAATATATCTTAACACTTGACCCTTAGTAGGTGCTTCATTACTTCCCTTTCACCCCTGCTGTTACAACCGCCCATTGGCAAACCCTGAGGAGATTGGCAAGGGCCCATAGGAGCTCTAGGAACAGACCTCACAGTTTTCTTGGGAGTCCCTAATTCTACGCATGACAAAGGTCAGATGGGAAGGAGGAGGAGGAAGAGCAGGAGGAGGTGAGGGAGGAAAAAGAGGTGGGAGGAGAGAAGAAGCTTTGGAGGGGTCTGGCAAGCAGAAGCGTATTTTCCTTTTAAAATAGACTGAGAAAACACAGGCTTCTATTCTCCAGGCCATGTGAAGCGGTGCCTGCATTGAAATACAGGGATAGGCTTATGGGCAGGTTTCCCTCATTGAGTTGATTCTTTTTTTCAACAGGTTTTCAGGATCCACCATAGATTGTGGGCCAATATGCCAGTCTTGGGCCCTGAACCTATTGAATATAGGAGTTTTACTGTTCCGTCACCTTAATGATAGCCAGTTTGTTAAGGATGAGCCAAAAGGGAAGGAGGGTAGGGTTGTAACTAGTGAATCTGAATAACACTGCAATGTGTTGGAATGAATCCCTGACAGGAAGGTGATGGATGTAGAGAAATCCGAATTCCTTTAGCTTCTGGCTCAGGGTCTATGTAGGAAGATTGGTTGATGTGATTGATTGCCATGAGGGTAAGATGAATGAGGATGGAAGAGAGTTGGAAGGAGTGGGACTACGAGCTTTTTGGGGAAGTAGGAATTCTTTCCATGGAATTCCCAATTGCTCTGGGTTTCATTCGTTGAAAACCTCAGATATAAACCCACAGGAGACATAAGTCATTCTCTTCTCGAATCATCATGTTTGGACAGGACAGTCGAGATAGTTTTGTTTCTGAAAATCCCCCCCCCCCCAGGGGATGTCGGCAAGGTCTGGGGGCTGTTGCAGTGGGAATGTCAAAGCGTCAAGTTCCTGGGTCCTTTGGTTGGAGATTCGGTTAGGAATGAAGGGAGAAAATCTACTTTGTTCATTTCCCTAGCACAGTGTCACAACTTCAGGTTTCTTGATGGGCACTTTGGCATCTTTGTGAACTGGAGGATTGACCTCAAGGCCACAGAATTACAATTTTTGTTTCTCTTTGAGCCCCAGGTTAATAATCTTTTCTTTATGTTGCCTATTTCTTCACCATAATTCTTGTGCTTAAGTAGTGCCTCGTTCCCCTTTCCACTACTACTGCACACAGACACTTCCTTTGTCACTAACTGTGGTGTCTTTCTGTAAGCTTCCTTAGGAGAAAGGTAGAATAAATCTTCTATTTCCTTGACATAGGCTGCACTTTAATGAATTTCTCCTTGTCTCTGGCATCTGTGGGAGTTGTAAATGCACCAGAAAGAACAGAGACCTCAGGGAGCTTTCAAGGTAATTGCTTATGTTTTCTCTGGAGATGCCATCTTCTTTAGTGAATATTTCACCTTCCTTTTCACTAAAAAAAAAAGAGGGGTTGTTTCCTGTTGGCACTTAAAAAAAACCTAATTATTTTTTCTAAAATTATTTAATGACATGTATTTTTTAACATTTATTTATTTATTTATTAGATTTTATTTATTTCTTTGACAGAGACAGATCACAAGTAGGCAGAGAGGCAGGCAGAGAGAGGAGGAAGCATGCTCCCTGATGAACAGAGAGCCTGATGCGGGGCTTGATCCCAAGACCCTGACATCATGACATGAGGTGAAGGCAGAGGCTTTAACCCACTGAGCCACCCAGACGCCCCTTTAATATTTATTTTTAAAAAATATTTTATTTATCCATTTGAGAGAGGGAGGGGAGCGGAGGGGGCAGAGGCAGAGGGAGAAGGAAACTTCCCACTGAGCAGGGATCATGCTGTGACGCAGGGCTTGATCCCAGGACCCCAGGATCATGACCTGAGCCCAAGGCAGACACTTAATGACTGAGCTATCTAGGCTCCCCTATTTATTTGTTTTTAAAGGGGTTCAAACTCACAACCCTGAGATCAAGAGTTACATGCTCTACTGACTGAGCCAGCCAGGTACCCCAGTAATTCATTCTTTTTGATAAGAAAAATATTTGTTTATTGTAGAGAAATGTAAAAATGCAGAAAAACACAAAAAGGAAAACAAATTACTCTATTTGGTATTACATGATAGCAAATGTTTTCATATTTTCTTAAGTAAGCTCTATGCCCACTGTGCGGCTTGAGTTCATGACCTTGAGATCAAGAATGGCATGACTTAACTGACCCAGCCAGGTCCCCCAGTATTTTCCTGTTTTAAAAAACAAAATTGGGTTATCCTGAACATGCTGTTTTGTAATTAACTTTTTTCATTTAATAGATCATGTATGTTTTTCATGTTACTAAGTGTTTCTCCAGAATATTATTTTAATGGTTGATATTCCATTGTGGGGCCATGATTTAACTAGTTTGCCCTACTGTTGAACATTTAAATTTTTTAAAAAAATTTTTAAAGATTTTATTTATTTATTTGACAGAGAGAGAGAGACAGTGAGAGAGGAAACACAAGCAGGAGAAGTGGGAGAGGGAGAGGGAGAAGCAGGCCTCCCGTAGAGCAGGGAGCATGACACGGGGCTGGATCCCAGATCCCAGGACCCTGGGATCATGACCCGAACCAAAGGCAGAGGCTTAACGACTGAGCCACCCAGGCGCCCCTTTAAATTGTTTTCTAATTTAAAATGTTAGGCTGAGGGTGTTTCCACACTCTTGGCGATCAGTCATTTTACTTGTTTATTCAACATATCTGAAATACCTCATCCCTGCAGGGATGCTTGGCTTTTGCCCAGAGGGGAGATTCCCAAGGCTGGGATGCTCGAAATTTAGGAGGCCAGTTGTTGAGCCCCTAGGGGCTCCCCGCCCCAAGATTGCCAGTGGAAGATGTAGAATTGCAAATGAGGAAGGTAGAATCCACAACTTTCCTAGTCTCTTGCCCAGGTCCTCCCGGAGGCATACAGACACCCCAGGAAGCCCAAGTTAAGAGAGCAAACACACTTTGAATATGATTCAAGTTCAAAGGGCTTCCTTGTCCCTCAAGTTTCTTAGGTTGCATTAAAATACCACCTTTTAAATCTGGGAGTCTGGATTGTTTTCCTAGTGGCCCAGTTCTTGGTTCTCAATTATATTATCTCTCAAACACATATCCAAGGGGGTTGGATACTTCCAGTTTTCCCCTTAGCCTTGTGTATATTTGGAATATACAAGCAGGGTTTCCCATTCTTTTTTTTTTTTTTTTTAGATTTTATTTATTTATTTTTCAGAGAGAGAGCGTGCACAAGCAGGCAGAGTGGCAGGCAGAGGCAGAGAGAGAAACAGTCCTATGTAGCACTCGATCCCAGGACCCTAGGATCATGACCTGAGCCGAAGGCAGTGGCTTAACCCACTGAGCCACTTGGGCGTCCCTCCCATTCCCTTTCTTAAACTAAGGTTTCCAAAGAGAGAAATAAAAGGTCTCAGATGGATGGATATATATCCTAGCATTTATTGCAAAATGAAGTTGAGTTCCCAATCTGGGAAAATAACAAAACAGAGTCATTTGACAGCTCTTTGGGGAAAAAATCCAGTCTTTGGGCAGGGTGGTGGAGGGACTTACCTAGATAAGTCTAGATCCTCTGGGATCATCTGCCCACTTACTATGACCATTCTTTTTCCATGGTTACGAAGGCGGTTTCTGTCTGGGAAAATCCTCAGCTTATGTTGGGCCCTGGTTTCCCCAGAGTTTTGTGGGGAGTTTTTTTTTTTAAGTAAGCTCTGTGCCTAATGTGGGGCTTGAACTCACAACCCCAAGAACAAGAGTCACATGCTCTACCAACTGAGCCAGTCAGGCACCCCGAGAACTTTTAAAAAGTGCATACTCGGATGAAAAACCCAATACCCTAAAGAACCTTCCACTAGGGATGTCTATGGTCTCTGTCCCACTTATCTGTGTGAACATGTAGCTGGTCTTTCTGCAGGTAGCCAGCATCAGGTTGCTCTTTCAGAAGTCCAGACAGAACTCCTAGTTTTTTGCTTCCATTCCCTCTGAAACTTACAGTGACAAGTACTTTGAGGGTCCCTCTGGATAAGATCCCCCCAAACCAAACTCCCCTCTAGCAAGCTGCAGAAGGACAGGTGCAAAGACCGGGAAATAACTTGCAGGAGGGAGGAGATGGGGTCTGCCCACAATAGAAGGCGAGACTCCAAACTCAACTCTGCCCAGAATGCGCTGGGCAGGTTATACCTGGGCCTCCATTTCCCTCGAATTGCAGGTATGAAGGGCACTACAGACCAACCCTGTGATTTTCCAGTTGTTCTCGAATTCACTCTCTCTGAGAAAGCAACATGCACCGAGCGAGGGAATCTGTGTGGGTGCTGTCAGGCGCTGGCCTTGCGTCCGGACCACGCGCGGCCCGGGGAGCTGGAGCAGTAGTACCTATTCACCACACGCCTGCACTGGTCACACCTGACTGTACAGCACCACTGGAATTTGCAGTTACAGCTGCTGATGGCCTCAGTTCTTCTCTCTTCCACCTGCAGGCCGCACTCGGTACACAAGCGTCCACAGCTGCGCTGCTCCCACCGGGATGCGTTGCGGCCGTTCTGCAGACACTCCCGACCTTCGGTGCCAGAGACGCCCAGGCTGGAATTGCGGGTGCAGTAATCCGGCGACTCCTCTAGAAAGATCAGCTCTGCCTCTGCACTGGGAAGGAAGGCCTCAGCGGGTGCCCAGCGGCCCTCAGCGCTGTTGCCAGCCCTCAGCTGCCGCTTATCCATCTCAATTTTCAGGGCCCGGTCATACTTGGCCTTCAGGTAGTCCCCCATCTCCCGGAAGTCAGCCAGCTGCAGCCAGCAGGTCTGGATGCTGCAGCTCCCAGAGATGCCATGACATTTGCAGGTCCTTCTCATGATGGCTCGCACTGCCTTCAGAGAGAAGGAGAGAGAGGAGGACTCTGGGTAAGGAAGATGGAAGGCTAGCAATTAAATGGGATATTTTAGAGCTGTGCTGCTTAACTTTGGAGGAGCATCAGAATTCCCAGGGAGGCCTGTGAAAAACACTATTTCTGGGCCCCACTTCAGATCTTCTCAGTTGGAGTGTTCGGGGGGTGTAAAGGCGTTGGTTAGGGTAATTTTAAAGCGCCCTTGGGTATTCTTTGGGAAAATCAGGCAAATGTTGAGGAAGTTACAGGAATCAGGAAACCTAAGCTCTGGGCCCAACTCCATCACTTGTGTAGCTTGTTTCTCTCTCTCTCACTGGAATAATAACGATCAAGAGTACTGTGGAAATTAAGAAAATATGATCTTTGGCACTATTATTGTCTTCAAGGTAGGGGCTGGTGAGGGTTTGGATTTGTCCTCTCCCAGAGGGAAGCGAGCTCATGCAGTCTGAACCCCTACCCCCAAAGCAATTACTCATGTGTGTAATTGCCTTGAAAACCTCTTTCCCTTGCTCTGGTCCAGGTCATCCAGGTATAGGTTCAAAGGGAAATTTTTATGCTCTAAGCTTTAATTCTAACTTGCTTCCAGATTTGAGTTCAGAATACTCCAGAAGTCTTGGAGGAGAATAGACCCGCCAAAGAAGCCTTGATCAGTCCCAATGCCTTGAAGTCCAGACAGATCTTAGGATACAGGTTGGATGATAACCACCTCCCCATTAATTTCCTAGAACACACAATTGAAATGGTTAAAATTTTAAGTCATGAGAGCAAGGCTTTGGTGTACTGTATTGTTCTGGGTTCTCAGAAACTTGCCTGTGGAAGGGGCTAAACCACAATGATTAGTGATAAGATTAAAGTAGAAAATCTGAATTTATGGCCTGGTTCTGATGCTTTTTAGTTCTGTTGCCTTGGCCAAGCCACTTGGCTCAGCCTGAACTGCCTTTGTCATCCAGAGAAGGGGATAGCCATCCCAGTCCTGACAGGTGGTGTAAGGATGACTCATGGGTATGAGACAGCTCTTGGTAAGCTGTAAGTTGTAAGTGTTCACATGTGAGGTTCTTGCCAGTACTGACCCTGATAGTTCACTCACGGACTCCTATACCTACCAGTCTGCCTGCCCTGTTGTTGTGAAGATTCATCAGGGCTCTAGCGTCCTTTCCCTTTTCCAAGCTGTCCACAAAGAGTTTGGAGATCCTTTCCCCAAATTCCACATTGTCGCTGCAGCCTCCCCAGATCCAGCCAGGACCTCCTGCACGTAAGGAAAGAATAAGTTCTACACATATTTCCCTGCTAAGTTTCAGGAGGAGTCAAGGTTACTTTGGCTAACATAGCTAAACCATCCCCCAAGAGCTCTAGAAGCATCTAAAGCTGTAGGTGAGACCAGGAAGTAGAGGTGCTCAGAGTGGATGGGTGAGGTCCTTTTCACAAAGACAACTGCCCACCGTTCAGATACTTTCCATCTCCAGGCAATTAGTCTCTACAGCCTCAGTAAATGTAGGCATACTGAGCCTGGCGTAGGTGTTCTTAGAAGTTCACTGTAGCTCAAACATTCTGGAATTCTGCATCATCACCCTACAATAGTCTTGTTAGAGCCATCTCCTCCCTCTTTGATGACAAATCTGAGTCTCCTAGATGGTCTACAAATAACTGAGTAGCTCTGGATTATGGATTATGGTTCTCAGCCTGAAATATGAGGGTTAGCTTTAAGCTCTCTGGTCTTCTCATTCCTAGAGGTCTTGTTGGCTTTAGAGCTCAGTGTTATTTGGTGATCCTAGATTCATGGACCCAGCTCATCTCTTGGAAGTGTATAGGTCCAGGAGCTCCCACCAAGAAGTTGCTGCCAGCATCTAGGGCTTTGAGGGACCTATGTGTCCCTTAGCCTTTTCCTGGAAGATCTTAGCCTGCATGTAGCTCTGCCTCCCTCACTTCTTCCCACCCACATCAGAGAGTACAACTTACCTGTTTTTCCATTTTTCGACTCATCGCAGCCACAGTTTTCAAAATCGCCCATGCTACAGTTCTTGGTGATGGTATACATGACTCCTGCAGAGCTGATGGCATGAATGAAAGAAGTCTCCCTGGTGGCTTTGGAGAGAAAGAGGAGACTGGAAACTTGGACCCTGATGACCCAAAGGAGAGGCTGTGGAAAAGTAATTGTTTCTCTCCCTTGGTCCCTGCCCCTTTGGGTTTAAGAGGAGGCTCTTCTCCTTGAGAGAACAGTGTATGTCTTTCTAACATCCTTATGTCTTTCAGGCAGACATGACTATCCCCATGGGGATGGGGATGGTAAAATCCACACAGACAGTGATGGGACCAAGGGCACTCTCTTCACCATTTGTATTGGGACCAAGACCCTGCTCTCATGAAATCCTGCCTGGCCTTCTGTTCATTAGCCACTGCTTTTGTGCCCTTGGGCAATGGGGTCTCAGGGCCATGGAGCTGGCTTAGGAAAGAGAGAAGGGCCTTTTCTTCCTTCTGACATGAATCAGGAACTATGTAATAATCATAATGATCGCGACTACCATTTACTGAACTTGTGTCTTACTAAACTTTTTAAAAAACATCGTCTCATTTCATTTCCACACACTTCCCATTCTGTCTGCATACCCCATGGGAAGACGCTTCTCTTCATCCACATCTTCTTTACTCTCTTCCCCCTACCTCTTCTCAGGAAACTCTCTATTGTTTGTATATAAACGACCTTTATGTGTACTACTACATACAGTTATAAAGAGCTGCAAGGTGCACGCGCACACACACACACACACACACACACACACACACCACACAAGACACAGCTCAGAGTGATCTTTCAGCTTCTCTGTTGTTGGGATTTTATGACAGCTGGGCAGATGGGAAACTCCTTAGGGGCTGCAAACACAAAGCCCTTTACTTGTTTTTATTTCATGCAACTCAGTGCAAGGTAGGTGTATACAAACACACAAATACAGGCCTACATTTAAAAAATAGAGAAATAATTACATTTGTATGGAAATAGTGTTGTTTTCACCTCATTCGACTCTTACAGTACACCTGGTGTACTAAACATAGCTGGCCTTATTGACCCCATGACAAAACTGGGGTTGAGAGAGGATGTAACTCACTCTCAGGGTTTCACAGTAAGGAAGTGGCAGATGAGCAAATCACTGATACCTTTTTCATTTCACTGCGCATAGAGATGTCATACATACAACACATGCACATACTGTAAGCTCACCTCCATGCACATATACCCCTTTGTGCAGGTGTGCAAACTTACCACTTCTCAGCCTGTTGTGAGTGGAGAGCTGGAGAGCATTTTCCGGGCAGTTCCAGCGTTCCCAAGCAAATTGGAACTTACACTCCTCAATGCCACTCTGGGCACCCAGAGCCACGCTGGTCGTGTAGGTCAGGTAGGCCTGCCAAAGGGAAAAGGGCTGTGAAGGTCAGCCCTGGCTCTGCTCAGTTCTTCTGGGGTTCGGGGGAATAGGCAGGACTCAAATGGATTAGCTCTCCAGGAAGGAACAATTATGGGTTCCTCTGGGTGGGGGACTTCTGGCCCTGTCTCCCTTCCCCTCTTTTCTTTCCCCAAAAGAGTTCCCTTAGGAACCTGGATGGGTAAAAACAGGAGCCAGAGACCATCCTACCTTGGGACCTGTTATCAGGAAATTGTTCACTGACCTATCAAAAAGAGAAAAAGTGAGGCAGTGGTGAATGGGGATGAGATAATGGGGGTTTCCTCAGTGGGGAGTGGGGAAGGTGGCACAGGGGAAGGACTTACCAGGCAGAGGCACTGAAGGTGGCATAGCATATGCCCACAGCTACCCTGAGCATAAACAGGTCTCCCATGGCCTTGATCACTCCCAGGGGACCAGGTCCAGCCCAGGGCCAACTCCAGAGAAGTGAGGAGAGGGCAGGATCCTTCTCAGTATTTATGTGGGGGAAATTCTGAATGGCCAAGGGGGAAAAATCAACAGCTCTTCTCATTTGTCCCTTACTGGCAGGGCTGCAGGAGGCCCTGACCCAATGGGGGACCAGGAAGGAAGAACTCAGCCCAAAGCCTCCAAGGAAAGCCCCGCCTCACCCCGCCCCACCAGCCCTTCTTCCCTCCCAGGCTGACAGAGGGGCTGAAGCCTTTCCCTACCCTTGAGGTTTCTTTCCTCTATAAATCAGACTTGTCTCTTCCAGCTCCATGGCTCATTTCTCAGAATCTTGTAGCCTGGAGCAGATGAGGTTCCCAACACTGAGGGTAGGTCAACAATTCCTCAGAACTACAGTGTCCTCATCTGTCACTGAGACCTCACTCTCTGTCCTGCCTTCTTCCCCAAGGTGTTAGTAATTATAGGGGAACCATATTTGGGGCACTCGGCTACTCATTTTACCAAAATAAGTGAATACATCTTTCCCACCTTCTTCCTTGGTGACTGTAAAGTCATGAAATCATGGGACAGTGGGACAGAAACACTTCAGAGGTCCTCTCTGTAATAGGCCCTTCTACCATGTTCTAGCAAAGTAAGTTCTGGTAAATTTCCTTCATTCATAGTCGGTCTTCATTTCATATGTGAGAATCAACCTTTGGGCCACCCAGGGCTGTATTTGAAAAAGCTAATGCCTTTCTGATCCTGTTTTGTTGCCAGGACATCAGCTCCTTAGGCAGGAATCTTTATTTTTCCTTTTGTTTTTTTGTTATTATTATTATTTTTAAAGTAATCTCTGCACCCAGCTTGGGGCTCAAACTTGTGATCCCGAGATCAAGAGTCTCATGTTCTACCAACTGAGCCAGACAGGTACCCCAGGAATCTTGTTTTAGGTTCACTTAAGTGCTTGAAAAGATGTCTGGATGAACAAACAAGTGAATAAAAGAAATTGTGACCCCTAGTAGGGACCCGAGACACCATTCAGGTAAGTTTCTTGGGACTGCAGTGAAGGGGTAGAGATCTTCCTTGGTTGGTGGAGCTCTTTTCCTGGGCAGGGGAAGGCAGCCCAGAGAGACTCAGAGGAAAGTACAAACAGGGATTCACCATCCTGACTCATTAGTCTGTGATTATGGATGTCCAGATCACATCCCAGCTCCCCAGGGCCTGATTTGGGTGAGAAAGTAAGCTCAGACATGCCCCACTGAAGGAGTTCCAGGGACCAAGGAGTCCTCAGGCTTTTTTACTTATTAGAGCAGCACACTCAAGCTTGGACCAGGATTGGTGTCAGTCTATAAGCTGTTAACTGTTGCCTAAGTACAGAAGTGCAAGTGTTTAGAAATATTTATAACAACTTGATGTAGAAATTTTATTTATTTTATTAATTTTAAAAATGCTATTTATTTATTTATTTATTTATTTAAGTGGGCTCCACACCCAGCATGGAGCTCAACACAGGACTTGAACTCACAATCCTGAGATCAAGACCTGAGCCAAGATCAAGAGTTGGACATTTAATCAACTAAGCCACCCAGGCACCTTGATGTAGTAATTTTAGATATGCTGGATCTAATAATACGACATTGGACTGCTATTTTGTTTGTGTTGTTGTTGCTTGTGTTTTTGTTTTTAAGATTTTATTTATTTATTTTTGTCAAAGAGAGCTCAAGTAGAGGGAGCAGCAGGCAGAGGGAGAGGCAGTGTCTTCGATGAGCAGGGAGCCTGATATGGGACTCGATGCCAGGCCCTGGGGTCATGATCTGAGCCAAAGGCAGATGCTTAACAGACTGAGCCATCCAGGTGTCCCAGGGGGCTCCTACTTTGTGTATATTTTTTGTTTCATTTTTCTAAGAGGATTGGTGTGAATGTCACAAATGCAAAATGTCTTTAATGGACTACAGCTCTGCCTTTCCGCCCCCTGAGAAGCTGCCTTCCCTTGTTTGCTTATGGGCTTCTCTCGTTGGGGAAAAGAAGTATCTGAGACTTGAGTCACTTAGGAAAAGCCCACTGAGTTTGTTTCCTATTTTCCCCAGTCAAGAATCTAATGTTTAACTTTTCCTTCTTAAGACGGCAGGGTTGATTTCCATGCCACTTACTGTTTGGTCAGAACAGGGTTAGCATTAGCTCTGAGGTAGTCTCCCTGTGCCCCTTGAAAGAGTTTTAGGAATGACCCCACATTCATTTCCTGTGTATGAGCAACTGGGTCTTACTATCCTATGTCCCCCATTGTACCTGGCATTTAAGTTGGTACTCTACAAAAATATTCTTTTTTTCCCTAGGAAGCAGAGGGAAAGGTAGTAGGCTTTTTATGTGCAAACTTTGTATATGCTTCTGCTCAGATTCTATAAAGTTCTCATAATTTCTGTAAAAACAATTTAGGATGGGGTGCCTGGGTGGCTTAGTCTGTTAAGCAGCTGTGTTCAGCTTAGGTCAGGGTCCTGGGATGTAGCCCTGCATTAGGCTCCCTGTTCAGCAGAGAGCCTGCTTCTCCCTTCTGCTGCTCCCCCTGCTTGTGCTCTCTTTCTCTGTGTCGGATAAGTAGATAGAATCTTTTAAAAAGAATTTAGGGGGCACCTGGGTGGCTCAGTGGGTTAAGCCGCTGCCTTCCGCTCAGGTCATGATCTCAGAGTCCTGGGATCGAGCCCCGCATTGGCCTCTCTGCTCAGCAGGGAGCCTGCTTCCTCCTCTCTCTCTGCCTGCCTCTCTGCCTGCTTGTGATCTCTCTCTGTCAAATAAATAAAATAAAATCTTTAAAAAAAAAAAAATTTAGGGGGCGCCTGGGTGGCTCAGTGAGTTAAAGCCTCTGCCTTCAGCTCAGGTCATGATCACAGGGTCCTGGAATCGAGCCCTGCACTGGGCTCTCTTCCCAGTGGGGAGCCTGCTACTCCCTCGCTCTCTGCCTGCCTCTCTGCCTACTTGTGATCTCTCTCTGTCAAGTAAATAAATTTAAAAAAATCTAAAAAAAAAAAAAGAATTTAGGATGTTGAAGAATGGACTTTACTCCCGGGTATTAGGAGGTCTGGGCTTTGGCCACTAATTTGTTGTGTGACCTTGGGTAAGCTATTTACTACCGCATGGACTCAGTTTTTTCATCTGTAAAATGAAGGAATGGGGGCAATGTTGAACATTGAATGACCTCTAGAGACTTTCCCAGTATTCTACATGCTGTAATCCTACTTTCAGGGTTTATAGAATTTACTAATCCCTGAGGTAATTGTAGACTGAAGTGGGGAAATCTTGTTTTCACCAGCTATTTGAATGGAATCTTTTTAATCTTTGAATCCTTTAGTTGCCTGTCAGGATAGACCTGGAAGATAGGTACCCAGAAGACCACCACTGCTTTCTTCAGAGTGCTTTGGGGCTATGTCTACATAAGACCCCTGTGCTAGACTGATTAAAGTCCTTCATGTGGACAGAATTTCCCCTGAAAGGAGAGCCGAACAGAGATAGGCAGTTGACATTGGAGTCTACAAATCATTTGCAGTCATTGTGCCTTCATTTCCTTAATGCCAGCTCCATTATCTCATTAATTTTTTTTTTTTTTTCAGAGAAGAGGGGAGGGGCAAACACAGAGGGAGAATCCTAAGCAGGCTCCATGCCCAGTGAAGAGCTGGATATGAAGCTGGATATGAAGAGCTTGATCTCACAACCCTGAGATCATGACCTGAGTGGAAATCAAGAGTCAAATGCTTAACTGACTGAGCCACTCAGATGCTCTCCTCCTTTTTAAAAAAGGTGCCACCCCCAACATGGAGCTTGAACTCACAACTTTGAGATTAAGAGCTGTGTGCTCTACACACTAAGCTGGCCATGCACCCTTATCTCTTTAGTTATTAAGGGTGTGGTCCAACTCTTGGTTTTTCTTTTCCAGGGAGGGAAATCTGGATCTGAAGACCAGAGCAGGCAATGACAGGGAGGTAAAGTGCACGTATCACAAGGCAATGGTGTCTCTGAACAGGGAGTGTGCTGGCAAATAGGTGTTTAACAATCAGCTCTGGAGTGACAGGAGACATGATTGGGAGTGTTTGCTGATTGCCATGGTGTAAATAATCCCACCATGGCCTTTTTCAAACTACCAATGTAGACTTGGGAAGAAATGAACAGTACCACATCATTATATACTATTCTATCATATGGATATAATAGATGTAAATAACCTACAGAGTACAGATAATAAAATGTCAGAAAACAATTAGGAAAGATGAATTTGGGTACTTGTTACCTTTGTTTTTAATATAATTTAATTGGTTATATAATTTAATTTTTTAAAAGATTTTATTTTTAAGTAATCTCTACCCCCAACATGGGGCTTCACTCATGACGCTAAGATCAAGAGTCACATGCTTTACCAAATGAGCCAGCCAGGAGACCCTATGTAATTTAATTTTTAGTAATGACTTGTTTAACAACTGGTATGCAAGATTCCTGAAAATTTGCCTATCAGCTTTTCGAGCTGGGACGGACTGCCCCCCAGCATACGGTTGGAGCCCTGTGTCTTCCCTGCAGGCTCCTGGGAGATATAGTGCAAAAGATTTCTATGTGGAATTGAATCCCACTGTTCATCAATTCCAGTTATAGGCAAGGCTTTAACCCTTGCTGAGCCATAGTCTTGCGACCTGCCCTCAAGGGGCTTGGTATCTAGTAATTAGAGGCTAAGGTGTGTATTTAACTAATGTAGGGCAGAAAGTGGAATACAATGAATAAATGCACATACCTCTGGAAAGGTATTCATAGAGCTAGAAAGGAGGTAGGATCAGATAATCCTGGAGACCCCTTCTACCTTTATTGTTCAGGGATGTTGAGGTTTCAAGAGTCCGAGGGGAAGCTGAGGACTATGATCAATGAGGAATAAACTGGAGTCACCCTTGTGCCCAGCTTCAGAAAATCTAGAGGCCATTCATGGAACCAAGAGTGTCTGAGCTAGAGGGTCCTGTT